AGAGAGGGAGAGGGAGAGCTTTGATAGACAAAGGAAAAAGAAAAAGGTAGGGGGAAAAGTCATCCTGTTTTCATCCATCTCACCTGCATAATTCGCTGTGATAAATCAGTTGAAGCTGAGAGGTCAAAAGTAGAGTTTGTGATAAAACTAGGAGCAGAATCATTGGATTTGGCTTCTCAGTTGCAGAAGATAGAGAAACAATAAATACAGAAAGATACAGCAGGTAAAAGGTAATAGTTAAATATAGTAAAAATGTGTTTCTGAATAAAGGCAAAAAATAAGAGAAACGTTTTCACAGCAAAACACTTGATGAAAAAATCCTCAAAATGTAAACAAATTGATGGGAAAAGTTTGATTTTTCTCTCATTGAGATAAATTCTTATGGTTTAAAAAAAAAGGCAACAGGTGTGTATTGTGGGGAAAAAAAAGTTGGTAATGCTTTTGGCTTTTCATGTTTTAATAAACCTCTTTTCTGAGACCAAAACAACAACATGATCTTTTTTTTTTTACCTTTATCACAGCTGTCCCCCGTGTATCCGCTGCTGCATTCGCAATATGGTTTCCCAAGTCCTGAAAGCCTGCATTTGCCATGTTTACACCTGACGGATTGGCAGGGGTTAAACAGCATTTCCTCTTCATCACAGAGGACTCCCCCATGTCCCTGCAGGCATTTACAACTGTATGAAAACGCATTGATTGGCAAGCAGGTACCATGCACACATCTACAGGGGAAACAAGCCCAAGAGAATAAAAATAAATTATTCATCAAAGATCAGGCTAAGCAACATTAACTACAAATACTTTGGACTGTACTCAGAAGAAATTGCTTTTGTTTCTAATGGACTTTTTCAGCGAGATGCAGTGAAGGGGTTTATAATTGGTATGCAGGTTTACACAAAACAAGCTGCAGTACAGAATTCTATCTCACCAGAAAAAAGCCACTGTAGATGTGTTATGGAAGACTTTTACAAACTACAGTTATTCAACCCAACATTTCCTGTCTACCTGTATTTTCAGCATGCTTTTGAGAAGAACACAGCTGAACGAAACTCCAATGTAATCTACTACAATTAAGTACAGAAAAAGGATACTCACCTGAAATTCTGGTCCTTGCATTATTGAAAAAATAAAACGTACTGTCACTCATGAAGTATGGGGCTCCCAGCACAAAGACAGGTCAGGCACTTCCTAACCGAAACTTTTCTGACCCAAGAGATGGCAGTTTCAAAGCTGAACCCATGCTCCCCCTTCAAATATATCTATATCTATATCATCTATATCTATATCTATACCTATCTATAAATACATAGATTGATATCAGTCTGCACTGCCAACTGCCAATACCATGGTCATATAATGTATGAGGCAGGTTTTTACTTCACTGGAAGCCACCAGCATCCATCTTGCACTCCTGCAGAAGCGTACGCCAGATGAGGTTGCACATTATCCAGTTTCACCCCAGTGATTACACTAGCGACTCTCTTGGCTGAGCTCTGGTAAATGTTTGTGGCAAGCTCAAATTCATTGTTACACAAAAAGGCTGCCAGTTAAGTTGCATCTGGTAAGTTCTGATGTACAGTAGTATGGGAACACATGGCTGGTCTTCTCTTGAGAGAAACGTGGTGTTTCCCAAAGGGAGGATGCTTAACTACCTGTTCCTAAGTGTATCCTGAAGATTAGGGAAACTCATCTTCTGAAAACATCACCAATGACTTGGAATAAAATCACTTCCCTTTGTTCTTTTGGTGGCAACAGGGTCAATAACTTCCTTTCTAGAAATAATGTTATTTTCTTTAACTGCTGTCTTAATACACAAGTTGTCTATCTACATACTTCTTCCCAGGGAGACCACGATGAAGATTCCTCTGTAGGGAGGAATGCAATCCTGATATTCAAGGTCCCAGTCACACTCCCTAATGTTTCTCCTCTCTAATGTTATTCCTCTCTTATTGTAAGATCCCTGAGCTCACAACCCTCTTAGTAGGTTGTGGCAGCCACCTAAAGAAATATATAAATAAACAAATGAAAAACTTTGGTTTTAAAAAAAAATAATTTGTTAGATCTAAAATAAAATTCTTTGTTTCAATTTGAAGATGGGAAAAAATCATACAGAATTGCATTTCATAGTAAAAGAAGAGTTCTGTTAAGAACTACATCTCATTTTGAATTTTTTTTAGGAAACATAGTACATATTTCTTGAAACATTTTACTTAGTACTCTACTTCTTCAGCACAGTAAAAAAAAATTGGTAAAACTGAAAAGAATGCACAAGGCTAACTTTGCCAAACTTGCATTAACTATTTAATACTGTTTCAGTTTATAAACATCAACAAGCTCCACTCATGAATGAAAACTGCACTATGATTCTCCATCTGTACCCTTACTTCTGTGCAAGTGCTTTAGGCATGGTGTAACTTAGAGGAAAAAGAGTATGTGTGGGAAATCAGTCTCAGGATATTTAAACGGAAGGCACAACACATAGCTTCCATTCACATATCCAGTTTGGGATTAAAAACTGCAAATAAAAAACTAACAGCTTAAGCACCTCCAACTTCAGTATTATGCAAAAATCTATATTTTTGAAGCAACTATGTTGCCTAAAATATTCCAAATTGTTCCTGTGGTAGAAGTCTGATACTCCAAGCCTGTTAGATTAAGCGACTCAAAATTGGATGTTTAGACAGTATCAGAGGGCCGACAGCTTTTGTTTAGTTTTCATTATGTTCAGTATTTGATCTATTCACCATTTACAGAACAACGTTTTTTAGGGCATCTGATCTATGAAATTAGCCAGGTGACACTGACATCATGTCATGTTCTATACAGGCTGTTTTAGATATGAAAGCAATCTGTGTCAGGATCTTTGGTGAAGTTCTGCTTGACTCAGAAGATGATTAAATCTTAGCTAATGCCAACTCTCATACTTCTGCTTCCACCTGCTCTTTGAAGCCCTAAATTTCATCTTCAGACTGTACTGAAAGAAACACCACGCTAAGTGCAAACTCTTGGGCATGGTTTCATCATATCTAATTTTAGGTACCTATGTCAGGCACTCGAGTTAGATTTATAATTGCCATAAGCTCCCCACAGTCATGGAGAGAAACGAGCTTATCCGGTGCATGATTAGACCACTTGAGGTCTAATTTACTCTTTAGAAATGTGTTTATTCTTTTACTGACTCTAAAGCAGATTTTGGTCACTATGTCAAGCACCTAGTTAGGTAACATAGATCTAAGACCTCTAAAAGATTCCCTACATTTTTGAAACAGAAATCACAGTGACAAGTTTCTCAGCTAAAGTGGAATGTTATACTGTATTAGATGGTGAAATGCATCTGTTCAATAGACAGGATTTAGAGATGAATCAAGAAATACAAAATCAAAATCTGCAGGAACTGAAGAACAACAGAACCCTCCTTCACTCCAAATAATTTCTGGTTTGGCTTTCTCTCCTAAAGCTCACAGCACTTTATACAGCTGAAATAAACCAAATACTTACACAAGCTACCAAAACACGGATGTTGGGCTCACTTAGTTCTATCTTTGATACTGCCTGTATCTGATATTGCCGAATTTTGTAACTTGGTGTAGAAAGCACTCAGTGCTTTGTATGCTGATGTGTACGGTTTTAAGAACCTTTACAGAATCTAATTTTTTCAAGGACAGTTCAAAGAAATTGTTTGGCTTATTACAGAATTTGGTGTTACAGTTCCATGTTCTTTTTGATTCCTAAAGTATACGGACAGATGTGATAGACACATCACATTTGTATATTTTAAGCTGCTGTGACTTCTTTTCTTTATCTCTGAAGTCACTGTGAAAGAGGACTGGGTAAGAAAAAGACCCATAAACAATGAAACGCTATACTGATATGCCTCAAAAATTCACCGATGTAGCTTTGGAAAGAGTTCAAAACTTAATAGTACTGAAAGTCCATAACGAATATAAGCAACACTAACTGCATTGTAAAGCACGCCGACTGGTGTATAAAGCTTTAAAGGGTCAGAAACTCCACACACACTATGTGTAAAGAACACTTAATGTTATGTGGGAGTTGAAAATCATCTTATTAGAATCTCTCAGCAAACTCAAGCCACTGGTCCTTAAAAGTCAAAAACCATACATGCCAGAGCACTGAAAAAGCAGCACCAAAAGATCCAAGCAGGATTACTTAACTCTACAAAAACGTGCCAAACTGTAGGAAGGACAGTGTTACCACAGAATGATATCTTGTTGCCCATGACCAATAAATCCTAAAGAGCTTTGAACTTCTGAAGTTTCTGATCTTCTTGTGCTGGGAGACCATGAGCTAAACAACTGAGTTTCTCTCTACAGTAAATTTGAAAGATGAATATGCATAGATATCAATACTCTCATATACACATATATACCTATCTTTTGTTCTCTCTCAACACATAACATATATATGCATATACACAACCATCTCCATAAACATACATAAAATGTCCAACTTAAAATGCTCTAGTCAAATCATCATTAATACACACGGACATAAACAGAAGTTTACCATAAAGGTAAAAATCTATTTTCCTGTTAAAACCTGGGGTACTGCAAAAATGTAAAAATATCAGATATCTCTATTGCACCAAGTTTTCGTATTATTATTATTAAATTACAAATAGTAATAATATAATGATAATAAAAATTTTAAATTACTCCATTTGCAACATCTAAATTATTTCTGCACCAATAGCGATACTTGCTTCAGTGTAACTCATTACATAAGTCCAAACTGAAACATGTAAGAGCATTTCCCAGGCTTTAGGCAGAACTTCAGTGAGATGTGTGTATCTGCTCCCCTAAACTGGGGAGTTTTACGGAGTGAGTTTATGGAAAAAAATATAACCAGGGTTATGGAAAGTATAACCTGGATGCTGTTTTCACATTTACATGCCCAGAATATTTTGTTTCTTGATGAAAAAGACTTTTATGAAAAACATACACATAACGGGAGACTTATATGCACATTATACTACTGTTCTGTCTTGAGGAAGGACATACTTATTTCCAAGACACGGGTCATTAGTTTGTTGATCACAGAGGGGTCCAGTCCATCCTCCTTCGCACTCACAGGAAAAGCCTGACTGGCTGGTAGCGTGACATGTTCCATGCACACAAACTTTTTTATGACAAGGCTCGCAACCTGGCAGAATTCCCACTTGCAGTGGCACATTTCTGAAGTCTTGGAGTTCGCTGTTGATATATAGATTACGGATGCAACCATGGAAGCTGGTGCCGTTCTGTCCCGGAGACTGGCGTAAAGCTGCTATGTTATTTTTCACAGGCATACCTAGGAAGTTCGTAACAGCAAACAATCAGTGTAATCTTCAGTGCAATTTTCTGTATTGTTTTCTCTATTTTTTAAATATTTTGAAAGAGATATTTCTTCCTAATTCATCATTCTTAGATATTCAGCTTACAAACATGGGCAATTGTGCTGGTTGCCAAGCTTGCATGTAAACCAGCTTCAAACACAAATGTCTCTAGGTTGAACTGAAGAGACGTGTACGGGCCTTCATACAGGAAGCCCACAATTGTGAAAATGTTCAGATACAAGCCCATTTTTGACCTACTGCAATTCAGTCCAAAGTAGTAAATAGTTTCTGAATCTTGGAAAAAAAAAAAGTTGTTGACATTTAGCAGCTCATGCATTATTTTTTTTGTAAGCTGCTAAGGTAGTCGAATTCAGAAGAGTTTAGCAGGACAAGCTCCCCAGTTTAGAGCTGGCGTACACATTTCCAATGTGAAATTTTACTAGTAAAAATTCTTGGAAAGAGAAGCTCAACAAGATGAGGTTCCATTACTTTTGAAATGTTTCTGTTTAGCGTATTTCAAAACCAGACTGATAAAAAAGCCACTCATAGTTTGCCATTACAGTTTAAAACAAAGCATTAACTGATAACAATAATTCAACATCAAAATACTTATGTGTAAGCATTTCTAGATAGTGCAAATGCCCTGATGTTGACCATTTTCAGAATAATTCTTCTGTTGTAGTCTATAATTGTTACAGCTGGCATTAGAGCAGCAGGTATATGTGCTTAGTTATCCTGTTGTGCTGTTGTGATCAGTTAATCATTTGAGACTAATTCAAAAGGAGTATTACTATTAAACATTGTTTCCTTGTAAAAATGAAGTCCACTTTACTCCTACTTATTGCCAACATACTGACATATTTTAGTGAGTCCTTGAGATAGCAAAGCCAAAGAATGAATACAGGAAATGCCTAAATACCTCCTGAGACTAATAAGTAAAGAAAATCAAAGTGTATTGAGCATTAGAAAAGGATCTGTTTAATTGAAAATAAATATGCTTATTAGCTGCATAGGTTTATACCTAGGCAAAATTAACAATTTTCATTTTGGTACTTAGGTAACAGCCACAGAAAGAGATAATCTGCATAGTTGCTCCTTAACTATGTAAACTGATACTTCTAATGGATTTATATAGTTATTGTGAACAGTTAAGAGTAATGCAGGAGTTCTATGCGACCTAATGAAGGAGATCTGCCTTTCATTTTGAGGTTATTATAATTTCATTTGTGCTACACGTTGGTGACTATAGAAATGAACAATATTGCATCCACCCTGCTGAAGAGCCTAATCTTCTTCGATCTTATCAATTAAGTAGAATAGGCTTGGATCTATTATACTAAAGGACTCAGACTTTAAACAATCATTAGTTTTCATTTCCTAAAAACTACTCACCATATTCTCAAAATTCAGGGACAAGGTAGAGTCATCAAGGCCTCTCTACTCTGATATCTCCCTTGAAAGCAACACTCAGCAAATGTTTAGACATATGGCTTGAGGTATCTAATAGCAGAATGGATGCACGCAATTTATCCAGTGTAAAAATAAAAGCTGAATTAAACTAAGTACGCCAGTGCAATGCTAAGCTAGATGCCATGCTTGTGTCAGGAAATTTAGATATCATTTCTGGGAACTATATAAGCATGTATGACACCAGATAATATGAAATATATCATATGTGATTCAGAGAATTTTTTGTTTATAATCTCTGTGGAAGACATTTGGAAACACGATGCAAGCGTATACACAAGTTCTTAGCCTATTCATTTTTTGCCTCTTACAGGAAGTTATGAAGTGCTAGAAGACCGAAAAATGTGTAAAAGCGGCTCTTGATCTTTGGCAATATTTCTTAGATAATTTTTAGATAAAAGTTCTTTATCAGTCAGGAAGGACCTGCCATAGAAACAATGAAAACAAATATTTCAGCTCTATTTTAGCAAAAGGTAAGAAAGTAGTTCCTGCTCCACTTTAAGCTTTTGGTCACCGAACCTCATTACAGGTAAATTACCAAATTATCTCTCAAGGAGGCAAATTATAAGACTCCTATTAAATAACAGTTATACAATAACACTGTCTAAACAAGTATCTCATTCTAGAAGGTGCTTGAACAAAACAGGCAAAAATAAAAAGCAGGTAATGCCCTACATATCTCAGAAATAGGGACTTCTGTGAAAGAAGGTGCCACTCTCAACTAGTAAAATATGTTCTAATTTCTGAGAGAAGAATGTGAAGTACCAGTGAAGTCTGTGAGCCCTTTGAAGAGTTTTTGAGAAGAAGCAGATTGTCCCTTAAGAGTTCTTACAAAAAGCCATGGGCTTTCAGTGTGATTTACTGAAACCTGTTATAGAAAGACTGAAAAATATCTTGCGTGTGTATTCTGACCACACAAGAGAGCCACAGAGTTGGAAAAATTACCAAAAAAAGGAGTATAAATCAATTAGCGCACTTTCTGTGAAAATAAAAACCAACTCAAATATTGAGTCATGAATAACTTCATTTTTAAAAAAAGGGAGGACGGGGGGAGAGAGAGAGAATGGGAGAAAGAGAGGGAGAAAACCATACAAGGGCTTGCTGTCAAGTCTGAATTTCATCCTGCCAGCTGAGGTGATCCTTACCAGAAATGCCATTGCAGCAGGAAGGTGATAAGAGCAAGTGTAAGCTACATGATGATATAGGTGTCAAACTAAGACTTTGGCAAAGATAAAAATAACTGCAAAAAATCTAGTGAGAATCTGAGTTCTTGACATGGAAATGTGTGATCAAATTCTCTAAAAATTCTAGATACAGTTGGATAAGAAAAAAAAATGAATGAATCTCAAGCAGATGAGTAATGTAAAGATACAGGAGTGAAAATTAACTGTCTCAGGGAGTTTAAAGACTATAAATAGATAAACATAGGCAAAGAACAGAAAAGTGTAAGGGCTGAATATCAACACACTTTATCTTTTCTTTATTTTGTAATAATGTGCTTCTAATAATGGTTTTCTTTCTGTTTTGGGCTAACCACTTCTATGGCAGTGGAAATTGTCTGCTTGCAGCCTGAATGTGAAGAATAGAAATACAAGGAACACAGAACCTCTCTAAAGAATATGCACTAGGACTCAAACCACTGAGGAAAAGGTTTATTTCCAAAAATTATTTCTTCTGATACTTCAGAATGATGATGCAGATGATTGTGATATTCCTAATGGAGACAAAGATCTGCAAGGTGAAAAAGCAAAGAGAAAAATGTGTCATTGCACAGAATAAATGTTTACAGTTGGCAGTCTAGCCTCATTTCACCAAAAGATGCCCGTCACAGCCAGGGGGGATCATTCTGCACTAACCTTAGTTTTCAGAAAGTAGTAAAATTGGTCTTAGCAGTCATTAAATAACAAATTAATGTTGACAATAGAAGTAAAAGCAAGTACACAGTGACTAGAATCTAGGGCCATTTCCCTTTCCAAAAGTTATGGCAAAGGACACTATGTACAAAACAGAAGTGATACATATGAAAGAAATGCAAATGTGCCTTTCCGTATATTTAGAAAAAGGATAAATAGCGCCTTCTCTAGACAAAATAGTCATCTTATAAATGTACTACTGGTAGCATAATTTTTTGCAAGGAGGCAAGGTGCTCAAGTCTAAAAACTTAGACACAAAACAGTTCTTAAGAATTAGACAAAATGAAAAAGAAAGTAGGTATTCTTTTTACAGAAAGAACAGAACAGTAGGGGACTCCTTATATGTCTCCTATAAGAGTGCAAGGTTAAACTAAATAGAAGATGAAGTCTGGTAGAATCATAGAATGGCGTAAGCTGGAAGGGACCTTAGAAATCATTTTAATCCAGCCTCCCTGCCACCAGGGACACCACCTCTCGACTAGGTCAGGCAACACATGGGGACCGAACGGGAAGATTAGTAGCATTTAAAAACCACACTCAATCTCTGAATCTCTGATGAGTAAGAACTTAGACTTGCTACCAATGACAGTAAGAAGCACAAAGGGGTGGCTAAAGTTTCTGACTCTTTTACCTAGACTATGTGGGTCCATCAGAAACTCAACACAAACTCCTGGTTAAAACAATGGGCTTGAATCCATAGCTCTACACAATGAATTGCAGCAAATGATCAAAAATATTTCAAATAGTTCATCTCCACAATCATCAGTTACTGGTTTTACTGAAACAAAAAAATTTTTGTTCTCAAAACAAAACAATATCAAACCCTGCAACCACAATACTGCGAGGCAACTGTCCAGCTGGTTGCCTTCTCACCTAATGTGATAACTCCTATCAGCCCTAAGCAATAAGATCACCAGACACAAATTATACTTGAGGGCTTTATACCTCACTAACATTTCCTGCAAATATCTGTACAGTGAAATAGAAATATAAAACATGACTGAAACAGAATGCTACTATTCTACACTTTCTGAATAGGCATTACTGAATCTTCAGGTACCTACCTAAACAACATTAAACACACTTCTTCAGTATAATAAAAAGCTAAACAACAGTAGAAAATTATAGAATTTTACAGCAAGCATCATACATCCGTACTGATAAAAAAACAACAGATGCAGTTTGAGGACATATTGTTCATTAAACAAAATCCAACTATTGAGATTAACTGCTGAAGTTTCATCTTAACAGTGCTATCTCAATGAATAAGTCTCTTACCATGTGTTTAATAAAGCATGTTACTAGAGTAAATTAGCCATGATACTGTCAGTAAGAAGCAGCAAGATCCTCTTACCTCCTACATACAGCGGAGAATCAAAATTCAGAGTGGATTGCTTGGACAAATTGGTAATTATCTTCGGGCTTCCTCCATCAATAGATAAAGACAGAATCTGATCCCCAGCTAGAAGCTCCACTATGTGGAAATTACCATCATTAATAGTTTCCACACTGTAAAATAAACATTAACATTAATTTTAAACAGTTGATGGTCTAGTTAGAATAGTTTTTGATTTTCTCCCCCGTTAAGAGTTAATACCACTTCAGAACATAACTTCTCCAGGAGTGCAGACTCCTGAAAACTAGATATTAAGCAAGGACATGCATGTATACCTAAGAGCTAATACAATATAATACCTCTTCAATAGCACTATATTAAAACTATGTATTGTAAATGAACAACCCTTTTTCATTCAAAGTTATTCCTGTCCTCATCAAATAGTTCACTATGTACATATAGATGATATTCTAAACATCAGCTGAAATATATTTACTAGGCAGGAAGCCAAACAGAAAAAGTCTGGAGTTATGCAAAAAATGACCAGAGGACTGGAAAACTTCATAGAAGAAAGGCTGAGAGAGCTGGAGTTGTTCAGCCTGGAGAAGAGAAGGCTCTACAGAGACCTTACTGTGACCTTTCAAAACTTAAAGAGGGCTTATAAGAAAGATGGAAGGAGGCTTTTTACAAGGGCTTGTAGTAATAAGAGGCAACCATTTAAAATTAAAAGGAGGTAGATTTAGATGACATAGAATCTCTAAAGTAAAAGAAGATATAAAGAAGAAATTCATTAATATGAGGGTGGTGAAACACTGGGACAGAGAAGTTGAGATGCCCCATCATTTGAAATCTTCAAAGTCAGATTGGATGGGGCTTTGAGCAACCTAATCCAAGTTGAAGTCCCTGCTCGAGGCAAAGGGAATGAACCAAGATGATTGTTGAAGGTCCCTTCCAACCTAAACCATTATAATGTTCTTTCAAGATCTTATTTGCACGTGCATGTGTATGCATATCCTACATGTTACCTAGTATTGGCTTTACATATTTTGGAAGTATGAAGGTCAGAGTTGACTCCAGTGATGTATAAATCTACCATTTCACAGAATATGGAACTCCATCTAACCTTAGTCCTGCCAGACAAAACCACATAATTGGTCCAGACAGCTCCACTGACGGTAACAATAAAGTAATTTGTTATCTTTATTAGGCATGGTTATTTCTGTGTGTTCAGCTTCTGGCTAGTACAGTGACTATTGTTTGGAGTTTGGTTTTTTTGGTTTTGGTTGGGTACTATTTCCTTCTGCCTAAATCCACTAGCAGGAGAATGACTGAACAGTGCCATGCAGAAAAGGCTTATTTGAAGCACGGTTCTTATGCTGTATAATGACAATCCTACACATTATTAAGTATAAGAAATGTCTGGCTATGCTTACCAGCCTCTAATATCTACACTGCAAACATTTAAGTGTGCGGTAACACAGTTTAAGTATATCAGAGAAGGAAGAATATTATTTACTCAATTCTAGGACTGAATATTTCATTGTACTTACATTACTTCTAGCCCATTTTCCACTGGAGAATTAAGAGCTGAATGTATGGCTGCATGGAAGTTATGACAATGAGCTGTAGACCAGAGACTAGACATTAGAACCATTCCCATGAGAGCCTTTATTTGCTTCAGGGCACCATCAAATGAGTGAGCTTAAGCCTTTGAAAAAAGTTATTTAAATGAACCAATTGTATGATAGCCTGAGATGGCCTGAACAGTCATACAGTCAGTTAGCTCTTCTCATTAGGAAAGCACTATAGCTGAAAGGGATTAGCTTCCTAAATCTCAAGGCAAAAATCAAGCAAATTACCTTATAACATCCTTAGTGATGTTTTAATTAACCTAACTGCTTTTGTCCTAGAACAGATCAGAAGCACTCACATGGTTGTTTACAGCTGCGACACATTAAATAGCTTCTCAGCTATTTATTACCTGCTCTAACTATGTGGACAGGCTCAGCTCCATATGGATAAAAAGATCTGCGTGGTAGCACGCATGCTTTACATAAACTCAGCTCTGTGTGAAAGAGCAAACACACAACTTAGCAGACACCAGAAGAATAAATACTTTTAGGGAGTGGGCAGAGGGGGGCTGCCAGGTCCCATGGGGGAAAGGAAAAGGTCAGGGTTCGTCATTCCTAAATAGTGAGGTCTATTCAAAGTATTAAGAGGTTTGTTTGCTGTGATCAAACAGTAAGAAAAGTGCCAGGATTTATTTATTTAACACATTTCAATGATTCCAGGAAAAAAGTTGTGCTAAGAAATCAAAATGCATATGACTACTTGACTTAAGCAAGCAGGAAACCTGAATATAATGTTCTTGTTCCAAGGAAACTTACATTATTTTACAACTTACCAACCTTTCACACAACAGTATTTAAAAAGATGAGAGCAACACAGAACACACATTTTTATAGCAAACAGTCATTCCAGGGATGTATAAAACAATAAGGTGTAAAGGGAATCTGCCTCTGTTAAGAGTGATTATTAAAAGCTTCTAATTTAAGCTAGAAAACATTACTGCAGAAAGTGGAGCCCTCCTAGGTAAGGGTGGTTTAAATTAAAGGGGACATAAACACAAGTCATATCTGCACAATATTTCCTGCCAATGCGCTTATATTACTTCTAGACCATTTCCCACTGGAGAAATGAGAGCTCAATGCATAGATCCTAATGAAAAGCTGTAAGAAAAACTGAGTTAAAGCTTCTGGAACTTTGCAGAAGAATAATGGTTTGGGAAGAAATATTCCCATATTTCCAATAAATATATGATGAAAACTAGTTTACAGAATGAAAGGGTTGTTTGGGATTTTTTGTGTGTAAAAAACATTTAACATTTAAAAATGGACATCCAGACAGAATAAAACTCAAATGGATCAACTTTTCTCCAATGAATTAATTTGCTCTATTGGTCTTGGCACTGCCATCACCTCATCTTGTTACCCAGCTTGACTGATGAGTGCTTTTGGGATGATGGCTCCTTCTGCAGTCAATTCCCATTGGTAAAGCAGTTCTCATTCACTCTACACAGCCAGACTGCTGTTATTGTTGATTGTCTGTATTTATCATGATTAAATCATCTGTCTGTAACTTTGTTTTGTTGCTACTGCAAGTGCCTCTGTAGGCTCTACAACTCCCATTTGACTCCCTTTCAACACACCATTTCTTCACTGCCATTTATGTTATAAAACTTCTATTTGAATCTCTCCACTGGCTGGTTGGCTTTTCTAATTATTAGTATTATTTTGGCCTCTGCTTCAGGCACCTCACCATTGTTCAGTGGACTATGACTTGTCTTACTTGTTTTCCTACACTATCCATCAATCTTCAGTTTCTTAATGAAATCTATAAATCTCTTGACAAACTTCTCAGGTTTTTGATTTCCTTTCTGTCTTTCTCACTGTAAGAAATTTTACTGTCTTAGTTTGCAAAATATCTAACCCCTTACCAAATCATTCTTAAACCTCATTGTTCTTAAACATCCGAGTTAAAATGCCCTGTTGTCTTCTTCATATATCTCTGATAAAATTTAACACATTAGTTCGTTTGTTTCTGTAATTCTTAGCTATTTGTACTGGATCTGACTGGCATGAAATTAATATTCTTCATAACAGCCGATATGGCGCTGTGTTTTAATTTGTGACCAAAATGATGCTGATACTGCTATATCTGAATAATGTCCTCACAGTGTCAAAGCCTCTCTGTTACTCACTCTGCTCCCCACAGTGACTAGATGAGGGGGGTGTGTGAATTTAGGAGGGGCCACAACCAGGCAAGTGACCTGAACAAACCAGAGAGATACTCCATGCCATAAAATGTCATGCTCAGCAATAAAATGGAGAGGAGGGTAGGGTTAAGTAGTTGAGCCGTCTTCTGCTTGGGAACTGGCTAGGCATGGCAGATGGCAAGTGACTGCAATTGCAGCACTTGTTTTCTTTATTTTTTTTCCTCCACCTTTCATTTGGTTACTAAACTATTTTTATCTCAACCCATGAGTTTTCTGACTTTTCCTTTTTGTCCTCTCCTGTCCCACTGAGGAGTGGACAGGGACTTGAGTGAGTGGCTGTGTGGCACTTATTTGCCTACCAGGATTAACCCATTACACCATTTCACAATATTGTTTTAGTTATTTGTAGGTTTGGTAAACAGTTTCTTCTAAATATTTCCATACTGAATGGTGCCTGAAAAGGATTTTTATTTTTCTGAACAGAGTAGGTATTTTCCCAAACTGAAGGGAACACACTCCTATCTCTTATGCTTCTATTAACCCTGCTTTGCACATTTGGCAGTGGGCTAGCACTGCGTCTATCCATTTGTCATCCTTCTGAAAATGCACCGAAGCAAGGTGTTAAGATTTGAAAGCATGGAAGTCTGCAGAAACTGGTGGTCTAGATCCCCAAATTGTACTCTGGGGCTGCAGCAGGACTTGCTGGATGTGGGCCTGCCAACCCAGTCAAAGAAAAAGGTACTACTTGAGCTAGATGAAGGTTACACGGACAGAGAAAGAAACTGTGTGGTTCTCATCCAGGAGAAGGAATAATTAGGCCTACAGAGAAAGAAGAGAAAGAGGCAGGACTGGGCAAGAAACGGAACAAAGCAACAATCAGAGTAAAGGGATGGTAGTGGATTGTAAGGAAAACAGGACTGGAAACTGAGTCAAAGAGGAGAAAGAGAACGATTAAGAGAAGAGGAAAAGTGACTCAGCAGGTTAATGCAGGTTATGTCTGAGCAGTTGTTGCCAAAGACAATCAGATCTAGCTGGCTTAGAAAAATATAAAGGGAGGGAAGGAAGGAGAGAAACCAAGGGGAGAGACTGACAGAAGAAAAGGATGAAGTGATTAAAGTGATATGTGTAAAAGATCCTGTGCTACAACGTACTCCTTTCTGGAACGTGAAATAGAAATGAAATAATATCTAATTTGAACAGTGATCACTAGATGCACAAACTAATATACAAGTACAGAAATGTATACAAGGCTTCCATCACAGGCACTGCTCTCAAGGACTAAAAATTCATTACAGTTTATCTCAGTACCATTACATGACAATTTTCAAATATCTCCTAGAAGCTGACCATCATTTTTATTTGAAATGAAAGGGAGCTTAATAATAATAATAATAATAGTATTGAAAAAAATATAGAGAGTATCTGCTTCACTAAACAACTGTGCCACCCTGTAACATACCATTACATTTCCCATCCCTTTCGTCACTGCACTTGCACCATTCACTTGTCACGTAATTTAAAAGAGTTGATCAACTATGTAGGGAAGATACTTCTAATTATTCCGTAACACTTACTTAATTGGAACTGTTTGTTAATTGATCACTTTGTTATTAATCCCTTCCACATTTATGTTTTTTTAATTCTACCTGTTTGCCTATTGTTTTTCAATAGTCTTCTAGAACACTACAATGGACAAGTGTGAATTTCCAGTATTTATTATATTCCTATAATACTGGATAAAGCATTAAATTGCTAAGAAGGAAATATATGTTTGGAATGGGAAGAGGTATTCTTGATAGATTAAACAAATAGGAGAAAAAAACCCTTCAAATTACATATGATCTGATTCCTATTGCTTCCTTAAATTAAATTTAAAAAAATATCATATTTTGAATTGTTGTCATTGAGAAAAGTGAATGTTTCATGGAGTTCTGAATTTGTGTTAAATACTTCAATCGCCCGTAAAGTCACATCCTATTTTTAATATATTAAAATTTATACAATTAAAATTCATACAGTATTTCCACATTATTAAACCATTTCATGGAATTGTAAGAAAACCTTTATGAAATACATATTGCATCAGAAAAACAGCAACTTTAAGAAGCTTATTGTAAAGGCTACTAAACAATTTTATATTGCATTTTATAGCAATGATTTTTTTTCTGTGGAATGCTTTTAGTAATCTACTAAAACTACAGTTCCCCTGGTGCTATTGCCTAACAAACTTTATCATTGTTTCTCTGCCACATAAACTTAAGCTTTTGACTTTATATTGCCATTTGAGTGCAATCATTTCTAAAAATCATTTATTTTCACTGAAATGTCTCTAATAGAATGCAGAACAATGCCAGCTGCTACAAACTCCAGCAAGTAAATATAAACTAGATATAATTTTTGCAACACAAAGGTGTAAACAAAGCAAAAAGAAGATGCAAAGAAATCTCATCTAACACTTCCCCTTAATTTCTGAATGCATCTACAGCAACAATAGGGCAACTGAGGCCAAGAAGTGATGCCTGTTGTCGTTTTGCTCAGTCTTCCAATGTCTGTCTTCAAATTCTTGAGAAGTTACATAAAACCTTCCCAGAAATTCAGGATGTAATTTTTTTTTGAGAAGCAGAGAATTCTGACTAAAAAACCATGAAAATATATGTTCCAGAAGCAGTTGTGGACTCTGTCTCTTAATAAGTTTGGAAGAGAAAACCATTTCTTTTTCAAGGGTATTGCCTTTTATCAGAATCAAGTTTTTAGTTTCTTTTTACTTGCCATGCAAAAGTCCTGCATCATATGATGGCCTAACACAGACAAGAAACTTCCATTTCATTTCTGCTTATGCAGTACAGTTCTGCACTTTACCCTGCACACTAGGAAATTATTTGGCAGTAACATCATGGAAAAAATCCATTTCCACATGTGAACATTACACAAATGCATAAATATTTCGCTGAAAGCTCTTATGCAGTTTGAATGGATCAAATGATATATTATCTTTCTGACATATCTGCATTAGAATTACTTCCCAAGCCAAATCATATCTTTTGGCAATAGTTTTTACATGTCTGACAATACATTCATTTGCATGTATTTGTTTTAGCCATCTATTAAAAATGGGACTTTGATGTAAGGAACTAATATATGCTTTGTTTCAGTTAGAAATTTGTTTCATCTGGGTTCACCTGTAAATAGCAGAGGCTGGATAAGATCCTGTGTCATAACTGACCCTCACTCTACCCCGGTACAGCTCTACCGCTATATGATCTTTATCGCCTTTGTAGAGCAGGATCCCACTGTCTTCATCTGTGGCAATCTAGTTAAAAGAAAGAAACACTTAGAAAGAACTAAAAATAAATATTAAATCAAAATGCTCTATTAAGTGAATCTCTGAATTTACTGCCATAGTCTATTACTTCACTATATCATTCTTCCTTCAGTGACAACCCAACAAAATTATTTCTCTTCCTACCAGTAAACCCATCTACTTCCATATGATCATAGAGTTAATCCGGTGACTATTCTAGATTTTTAGCTCAAATGTGAAAAGCTATTTAAGTGAGCCAATAACAACTCTGGCTACTATTTCACACCTTGAAAAGTCATTTACACTCTTGTCTAGATCAGAATCTACAACACAAGCAATCTTACCTGTAGAGTGATATTGGTTTGGGGGCGTATCTTAGCTGAAGGAATTTGCAGATAGGATTCTTTGTTGATGAAGTTTATACTGATCAGCTTTTCACATTTCTCACCCTGGTAGCCTGATAAACACTGACAGATCGGTTCACTCTCTTTTATGATACACTGGGCTCCATTTTGACAGTCATAATTATCACAAGGACTGGTGCGAGGCAGAACCATCGGTGGTGAAAATTCACAAAACAAACCACTAAATACAAACAGAAAAAAAATAGTATTTCAAAAAAACAAGCAGCTTTGACAGAAGATATACATGCCTCTGCTGTCTTTGGATCTTTCTCACCTGTATCCTTCCGGGCAAATACATGTATATCCATTAACTGCATCAGTACACTGTGCTCCATTTTTACATTTGTTGTCCTGGCAGTCATCAAAGTCAGTATCACAATGTTCACCTACATATCCAGGTGTGCAATCACATCTGTGAAACAGGAAAGGAAGTGGGATAACACGGTGCCCTTTAACAATACAGCCTGCTTATGACAAAGTTAAGGAACTACAGAATTTTTTAAAACTCACGACACAAAATGCATTACTGTGACTTTGTGTATAAAGACTATGCAGCTTAATCATGTTATTATATGGGCAATCTACATAGGTAAACAAATACAGGTCTGTTAGTTACACATGCCTACTCATCTGCCATTACACTGAAGAATTGTGGTTTAAATCTAAAGAGCCCTCATGAATCATTCTGACAGTTCTTGGAATTTATGAGTAATGCAGAATGTTATAGGATGTTGTAAGTGGCTGGGATCACTAAAATAATCAATATGTATAGCTGCTGAAACCAACAAATAATCTAAGGCTTGTATTACACTGATGGATGTTTTCTTTGTCAACTGATCAGCTATGAATGGACCAACAGTCCACTCACACAGTTTAGAGGTCGTGCATTAATTTTTTAACTCTTGACGTTCCACCAGGCTGACTTACTATAAATAGCTCCATGTTCAGTGAACTAACAGAAGTCTCAAAGCACATCCTCTGTCCTCCCTGAGCCCCCACTGAACTAGAAAGAGTGAATTCTCAAGACAGCATGAAATGGGGGTTTATTTGTTTGTTTATTTTTTCTCCCTATGCAACTCTCATTATTAATGTTAGTGGCATTTCAGGGAATTCTCATATATGAGACTGAATGAATGCTTGGCACTCTGTGAAAAATGAATGCGAAAGATCACAAATACGTGCATCCACGTGATTTTATTTTATTTTTTAAATGAAGATATATGTAATTGATTTCATTAGATCTTGTGATTCCTTCCTTGGTGTTGTTTCTTTTGGTTTCTAAAATTTGCTCTAAACCAGCAAGAGTGATTTTAAATAGCTGTGTAACTTTAAGTGCTTCAGTCAAGCGTGTCTCAATTTTTATTAAACAACATATGCAAATAAGTGAAAAAACGCATGCTATTAAAAAGCTGACTGAGATACATTCTTGAAGTTACTGTATCTGCTATTTTCTGAATTAAAATATCAGAAATTAACACGGAAGATTAGTGAACTAGGCAGTAAAGTATAAGATGCGAAACTACGTTTACTCAAGTGGCATGAAGAAAATAAGCATAACACACAACAATTGAAATACAAAAAGTTTTCTCTTTTCCAGTTGAAAACTATCAACTTAATTTCATGTTCATTTAAATCTTTAATATATTTGGATATTCTTTACCATATTTTAAATCAGACGTCATTTCATAAGTAGTACAAATGCTAATAAATAATCTGATCTTAACACAAAGCATTCTCTGCATAAAACAGGTGCTTACGACAATTGAAAGCTGCAGATTTCCTATATTTATTAAGCGAAAAATTATAGGAAAACTATAGTTTAAATTGTGCATGCTAATTAATTATGATAAGGATACAGTGTAATTAAAGATAAGTTTTCCCTGGGATGGACTTCTTTACACCTTTCAGTGTGCTTTCCTAATAATATCTTTCACAATCACATCTCAGCAGTATAATTATTCCACTTCAAGTAAATGCAATTTTTTCCCGCTGTCTAAGGTAGTGAAAAGGTGGTGTACAGACTGTCACATAGACTAACTGCTTTACTCTGCATTCCTATTTAAAAACTGAGTGGAATTAGAACTGTTAAGAGTCAGTAAAATTCAGTAAAACATATTTATGATAGTAATGTAGGTCTACATGAAAATCATGTCCTATTCTGCTGCAAAGCTTGATAATAACTGAAATTAGTATTTTGAGAATAGAATCTGCTTCCACAAAAATAAAAGGAAAAGAAGTTAATCAGGATAAACTCCCCAGAAATTTAGTTTCTCTTGGACTGTGACAATACTTTAGACTTACTTGTATCCTTTGGGTGTCAAGATACACTTTGAGTCATGCTGGCAAGGATTCAGGTTTTGAGCACAGAAATCTAGTTTCTCCTCACAGAGCTCACCTGAAATATAATGTCTGCTGTCAATTCAGTGAAAATATAAGTGGCCTGAGAATAGCTGCTTCTATTTTAAAAGTAACTGCTAGAGGCTTTTTTGCTAACACTGAAAAATGCACACATCATGATGTAATAATAAATACTACCTTTATAACAAATACATTTTAATACACAAATAATAACAGTAAGTACTCATGTTTCTGATAAGTCCTTTATAAAAAAATATTCCAATGTCAATCATTCATCCATGGACATAAATGCTATTTGTGAGAAAAAAAATAATTTACAATATTTATCTAGGTGTGCTCTGTAGTAAAACTCTAATGACTGAATTTCTTCTCACTACAACAAACAAGCCATCATTATGCTTTTCTATTACTTATTTCTAAATTCAGAAATACTAAGATTTGCACTATGGGTAATCGATTACCTGAAAAAACCCTGTTAATATCACTGCATGTCAATACTATTCCAATTATCCCAAAATGAAAACTTGCTTTCCACATTTCCTTAAATATGTATTTGTTAATGTACCATAATAATCTATAATCTGTTCTGTGAAAAGAGAAGGAAAAAAAAAATATATCTATGTCAAATGTCTACCCTTTTCTGCTGCTAGAATCAGTGGCTCTAATTTCCAACATGGACCGCATAACCTATAAAATATTTTAATATGGTTAAAATATAATTCTATTTGCAATTTTATAAGAAGGAAACAGGTGTGTGAACAGATCAACAATGTCTTGTTCCCTGACTAATTAATCAGAAGCTACCACAGATAGTGCGCTTGCAGAGTTTATCACTGGTTTGTAAGATAGATACACTTATTCTAGCATTCATGTGAAGAATATATGTATAATCAACAGGTATAAACCCTGTGCCTGCTGTGTTCAGGGACTCACAGGTCTATCAGGCCCTAAAACCATGGAGGGAGAAGGGTTGCCCCTTGTCATTTATCAAATAATAAAACATGAGCTAGGGAGCACAGGGGAACTGCGCACCAAAATGAGGAAGAAAATAACAGCAGATGAGCAGATGCCTTCACTGTTCAAGCTGAACTTTCTTTCAGAGGCACAATATTTGGTATCCCCCAGTTTTACTTATCTGAGTGTGGAGTGTAGTTAGCTGAAGAAATCAGTATGTGCTGGAGGGCAGCCTGAGATGAAAATTGCACATAATGGCTTCACCTCATTCCTGCAACTGCTGACACAGCACTGAGGATGGGGGCAGCGAACACGGCGTAGGGCAAAGACAGACCATTTAGGGATACAATTTGGGTAGAGTCAGGAAAAAGTAGATTGGAAAAAGAGAGAAAGGTATAGGGTAACAACACTGGAATAGAGATTTTGGAGAGACTATTCATGAAGTTATCTCCCAGAACACATGCCATGTGTCTATCAGTTCATCAGCTACTGCTGTCATTAAGCAATAAGGGTTCTGACATTTTACACTGTTCCTTGCCAAGTACCGAGTACCACACAGAAGCTGTTATCTGGTTTACATGCTTCTCTAGAATTATAGAATTACACATCATAATAAATTGAAAGCAACAGTAAATGATTAAAGGTCTATTTGTGGTTTTGTATTTTTTCTAAAGGTTTAACAGATGCTCCAGAGAAATTTGTCTTTTCTACATAGTGTTTAAAACTGCCTATCATGAATATGAGTACTGACTACCCAAGACTTCAGACATTATTTCCAAGACTTCTCTCTTACAGTGTGTAGAACTTATTTCAAGTGATGGACAAAACAGAGTCGAGGAACAGTCTACATTAAAGCAAGGACAGAGAAAAAGGCAAAACTGAACCAGAAGCAAAGATGGTTATGCTGGATAAAAACACATCTGAAACTAACTGAAGCTGACTGTGATATGACATTTAGACCATTCTATCTTGAAGATGTGAGGAAAAGCCAAGTCCAACTAGACAAGCACTTTGCAGGCATCCAAAAGATGCAGAATGGCTCTATACAAAGATTTAATAATAATAATAATAATAATAATAAT